CACACGGGCGGGCAAGGGGAAGGCCTGTGTTTGACCCAGTGTGTCACCTCAGACCTGGCCAATAACAACCCCACATCAGCATCCCAGGACGGGTGCCCAGTGATGGAAAGCATTGAGGCTCTGGGTTCCAGTCCCACGCCCAGCTCAGCCCTCCCATTGTAGATGCCTGGGGACCAGCGGGTAGCCCGGCCGAATGAGCCCTTTCTGCAGAGCCAGCCGGGGCCCAGCCTCCCTCCCCTGGGCACCGCCGTGGTGATCAGACCCCCAGATGACCTTGTGTGAAGCCTGGGCAGCCACCAGCACCTGGCTGATGGTCTCATTTCCTTGTGACCTAGGCCGAGTCCAGGGGCTGGGCTGGCCTCTCCGGGGCCTGGCGCTCACCAGCCTGCAGCCCCTGCCCCCCGGTCCACCTGGCACATGCCCGGTCCCATGGCCAGGACTCCCTTCCCACCACCAGCCAAGCCCCGAGCCCCTCCGGATTCACGCCTTACTACAGAAGCCCGGAGGAGCGGCTGAGCACCAGCCCAGGGCCCCCGACCCCTGCGCTGGGGGCGTACGGGCCTCGGGGGGAGCGATCCCCGCTCAGAGCGACCACCCTGTGAGGAAGGAAGCTGTGGACCCCCGTGGACTGGCGAGGGTCCCACCGATCAGACGTCTGGCCCCTGGAGAGAGAGGAAGCCTTCAGCCAAGGTGCAACGTATCGCTGCCCTGCAGAAACAACAGGACCAGCTCCCCCCAACCCCCTGTGTGCCTGCGCTCCCTGTGCTGTACGCCCCTCCCCCTCCCGTGGACCCCTTACCCACCAGGCATGGCCTGAGACCCTCGTCTCCTTGGCCCTCCCCTGGGGGCCATTCTGCGAAGCCTCCCGTCCGGCCCTGCCCTCCTGGCCCCAGGCCCACTGCCGTCTAACCAAACGAGACACGTGTCCCCAAATAAAAGCAGGTGCTTTGGCCCGAGCACGGACCACGCGCTGATGACCTGCTAGAGGTCATCTTCCTAGATCCTTGGAGGTCATTTCCGTGGCAGAGGTACAGATGGGTGCAGATGCTTGGGGGGGGGGGGGGGGGGGGAGAGCATTCCAGCGCCCCCTGCTGGAGAGAAGAGAGCTGTCACCCCAGCACATGGCCGCCATCCCTAGCACTCGGGCATGGCCCAGGTTCACGCAGCCATGGCGGAAAAATGGGTGTGCACTCCTTACACAGAGGAGCGGGGAAGGGAGGATGGAGGGCGGGGGAGCCTGAGGGGCCCCCCCGTGCTGGAGGGAAACCGTGTGGCCTCGATGCTGGGGGTGTCTCAGAGCTCCAAGCACCCCCAGGTGGCTTCGGGCTCTCCAAAGTCTGTCCTAATGGAGACCCAGGTCCAAGCCTCCCGGGGCTGCAGGCGCTCTAAGGAAGGTAGGTCTCCGGTGAGACGGGCTGATCAGGCATGGGAAAAGCGGACGGCTTGTCACCACGTGCGGAGGGCCGCTGACTCGGGGTGGGTCTGAAATCCGGGGTGTCTGATGGCACGTGAGGTCCCGCGTTGTCTCTTGGGAGGCCGTGTGGGGGGATGCTTGACAAAATACCATGGTTTGGGGGGGACTTCTGGGACCCGAGAGACAAAGTCTTCAAAGCTCTGACCCCCCCACCCTCACCCGCCATGTCATTTCTTCTCCGTGGCCCCGTGAACAGTTGCTTCCCACGGCGCCGAGTCTGCCCTCAGATTTTCTTTTGCGCTCTACAGCACCTCCGGCCCCTGTTCTTCACGCCAGGCATGCCTGAGCCTGGCTGGTCTCCCCCAGAGTCCTGGGGCCGGTGAATGCCAGATGGCTGCCAGGCGCCGGTGGCTCACGCCTGTCATCCCAGCTACCCAGGAGGCTGAGATCTGAGGATCGTGGTTCAAAGCCAGCCCGGGCAGGAAAGTCTGTGAGAGTCTGATCTCCCAGGAACCACCAGAAAACCCGAAGTGGCGCCGTGGCTCTAGTGGTAGTAGCTTGGAGCCCTGAGCTGGACGTCGGGTGGTGAGCTGAATGCCCCAAGTGCTGTACCCTGGCGCCCTCTCCTGGCATGCCTTGGTGGAGCACCCACAGCTGGTGTCAGGCTCAGAACTTCAGCCCAACACACGCACACACTGCTGACTGGCCGGCAGTCTGTGTAGGAGGACTGACAGACATGTAAGGGATACAGGGTTCAACACACTAAGAGGAGCGTGGCCTCCACCCAGGACTCCGAGGGGGCCCCCCGCAGGGGGCGCAGGTGACCTGCAGCTGAGACTCAGTGAGGAAGAGGTTGGCTTTGACAAAGTCAAAAAGACAACGTGGTCAGTGCAAAGGCCCTGGGGCAGAAAAATGCTAGTGCATAGGGGGACCGGGAGGGAAGCAGGTTTCTGAGATGCTCCGGGGCCTCCCAGGAGCAAAGTGGCCTCCTCTGCTTTCCTTTGACCCTGGACGTTCCCCTCTGGCTTCCAGTCCCACTGGTGACTGCCCTGTGATCTCAGTGATAAACCCAACTGGCTGAGTGCTGACCGAGCTCCAGGGGAATCAGGCTCTACACAACCGGGCAGGAAATGGCCCAGGCCCGGGCCGAGCTGCCAGTCACTCGGCGTCCTTCCCCTGCTCCCTGGGGGCAGTGGGGTCCTGACAGGCCGGGTCAGGCACACACCGGGGAACGGAGCAAAGCGGTTCATTCTGAAAAGAATCCCACTCCTTCCGCTCTTCCCCGGCCCCTTGGCAACTCGCTAGGCCCAGGACGTTGTCCAGGGCTGCCAGGGACCCTGCCTGCCAACCCCCGGCCTCCCCAGGGGGGGGCTGATGGGCCGAGGGGTGGGTGAGTGGCAGCCGGTCTGGCTGCACGTAGGTGGTCCTGGGAGAGCGGCCTTGGGAACTGGCACTCTGCGGGGATGGACGGGCTCCAAAGGCCGACTCGCCAAGCCGGCCACTCTCCAGAGGCCTGGCTTTTCCCGTAACCACTCCAGGCACAGATCCCAGGCGGGGCACGGCTCAGAGGCCTCAAGACATGGCGGGGGTAGGAGAGGGGGGAAGCCCCCGGGATGTGCAGGAGCTGAGCCGCACCATCCCGGATTCTTCCCTCAAAGGGAGCGCGGACGCAGTTCCTCTCTCCAAACACCTGGGGATGAAGGGGAGCCCCCCCCCCATCACTGTCCCCCATTCCTAAGCAAGCTGTCTGCCAGGATCAGCTTCTGGGGTCACAGTGCTGGAAGAAGGGTTGGAAGAAGGCCTGGCCGGGCGCCAAGTGGCTCACGCCTGTCATCTGAGTGACTCAGGAGGCTGAGATCTGAGGATCAAAGTTCAAAGCCAGCCCGGGCAGGAAAGTCAGTGAGACTCTGATCTCCAATAAACCACCAGAAAACCGGAAGTGGCGCTGTGGCTCAAGGGGTAGAGCGCTCGCCTTGAGCTGAAGAGCTGAGGGACAGAGCCCAGGTCCGGAGTTCAAGACCCACCACCGACCAAAAAGAAAAGTGAAAACTGATTGAAGGAAGGCTACGCCGATGATGAGGGAGGATCTCTGTGTGTGAGTCCCTTGGCAGCGGCCCTGGACCTGTGGTTTTGATGGAATCTAAGCCCCACCAGCCGGGCCTGCTTCTACACGTGTGCACAGACCCTGGACTGTAAAGACCCTGAAGGCAGGTGTGTGTGTGTGTGTGTGTGTGTGTGTGTCGTGTGTGTGTGTGTGTGTGTGTGTGTGTGTGTGTATATTTCGGCCAAGTTGAGTCTGTCAGATGGCAGCCCTGGTGGGAGGATGGGTACTTCCTGTCCTGGCAGGGGGGTGAGCTGGTACCTGGCCTCCATGTCTGGGCCTTAGCCCTCCCTCCCCCTGGGGCAGAGCTGTCTCTACTCAAGGGGTGGTGGAGGGAGGTGTGCAGGGATCCCATTCTAGGCTGAGCCCCCCTCCCCCATCTTTCCCTGGGAGAGCCAGGCTTGGAGGAGGGAGCTGAAATCTGTCCCCAGACAAAGAAGCCTGTTGATCAGACACAGCCATGTTCCTCCCCTCCTTTTCCAGAAGATGGAAATCCCGGTGTGTGATATACCCGAGTGTCACGTACACTCGATGCATAGCGATCCCCCTTGCGTGCGGTGTGGGGTTTAATCATGCCGGCCTCCCCTCTACCATGAGGAGCCGGGTGTGAGTTGAGGGTTAAGTACAGGAAAATGTTGGCTCAGGAGGAGTTAGGTAGGGCTGGCTTGAAGCTGACTTCTGGGGAAATGGAGTCAGTCATTCATAACCCCAGGGCGTGGAAGGGTGAGCGGGCCTGGACCCTCTACTGTCCGTGGTATTTCTCACCGTGGATGCCTGTGATGTCCAGGCAGCTCATCAGAGAATGAAAAACCTCTGGTTCTAGTAGCTTCTTTTCAGTTGTGGGGCTTGAACTCTGGGCCTGGGCGCTGTCCCTCAGCTCTTCAGCTCAAGGCAAGCGCTCTACCACTTGAGCCACAGCCCCACTTCTGATTTTCTAGTGGTTCATTGGAGATCAGAGTCTCATGGCCTTTCCTGCCCGGGCTGGCTTTGAACCGTGATCCTCAGATCTCAGCCTCCTGAGCAGCTGGGATGACAGGCGTGAGCCACCGGCGCCTGGCGCTCTAGTCATTACTTCACAGACAAGTAACCCCCTGGTACTGGTGACCGAGTACTTCCTCACCTGCTAGGAAATCTGCTGCTGCTGCTGCTGCTGGTAGGAAACAAGAGGCGCTGGTGGCTCACGCCTGTCATCCAGGCTACTGGGGAGGCTGAGATCTGAGGATTGAGATTCAAAGCCAGCCTGGGCAGGAAAGTCCAGGAGACTCTCATCTCCAATAAACCACTAGAAATCAGAAGTGGTGCTGAGGCTCAAGTGGTAGAGCGCTCACCCTGAGCTGAAGAGCTGAGGGACAGCGCCCAGGCCCAGAGTCAAACAAAAAGGCCCCGAGCCCTGAGCCCCGGGTGGAGCCCAGGGCGCCCCGCCCCTCCGGGCCCGGCCCGGCCGCGGCGCCTTTAAGGTCGGCTGGGCCGTGATGTCAGCCAACAGCGCGGGCCGGGGCTGGAGGCCAGCAGGACCGACCGACAGACAGACGCGGGACAGAGGGACGCAGGACAGACCGGGCAGGGGACCCCGGGCCATGGGCCGCTTCCAGCTGGAGGACTTCGCAGCGGGCTGGGTCGGAGGTGAGCAGGGCATGGGGACCCCGGCGGGGGGGGGGGGGGGGGGGGGGGGACGGGGGAGGGAGGGGACTGGAGCCACAGGTGCCCGGGAGACCCCTCCCCCCCCACAGCCTGGCCCGGGTCCTGGCTATTGGGTTCCTTCCCGGGATCGCCTCCCCCCCTAGCTGTGCTGGGGCTGTGGGTGCTTTATTATTATTATTATTATTATTGATGATGATAATGATGATGATGTTGTTACTGCCAGTCCTGGGGCTGGAACTCTGGGCCTGGGCGCTGTCCCTGAGCTCTTCAGCTCAAGGCTGGCCCTCCACCACTTGAGCCACACCCAGCGCCACTTAAGGCTTTTTCGGTGTCTGTGGTGCTGAGGAATCGAACCCAGGGCCTTGGGCGTGTTAGGTGAGCGCTCTCCCCCAGAGCCGCCTTCCCAGCCCTGGAGCTGTCTTCAAAAGGGTATTCTCTCCCCCCCCCCCACACACACACCCTTTTCTTGTCTCTCATTCACACGCACACGCGTGTGCTCATCATTTCCTATCTCTACTGCGTGTTCCTTCCTGACGCACCGGGCCGCGCTGCACAGGCATCCGCCTTGGGGATGAACGGGGAGGTTGGTTCGCTTGATCCTCTGTCACTCGGTTTTCTAGCTTCTGACACGAATGATGTTTCTTCTTTAAACAATCTTTGAACAAGCTGTTTCTTAAATGAATGGGATTTAACATTTTTTTTTTAGTTGTAAAGATACTGTACGGAGGGGTTGCAGTTACAGGAGTAAGGCACTGAGTGCATTTCCTATGAGCATTGTTACCTCCTCCTTTGTTTTTTCCTTCCCCTCCCTTTCCTCCCCAACTCCCCAACTCCTCCCTCCCGGCCCCAAGTTGTAAAGTTCATTTTCAACATAGTGTCTTGTACATCTCTTTGTTGCAGTGGGTCAACCTGTATCCTTACTACCGCATTTTGTTATTTCTCTTCCCCTCCCCAGATTAGAACAAGATGCAGGGCACCGGAATCTAATACAATGACAACAGGGGTTATACCATGGGGGAAGAACATACAAAGAAACAAGAACAACAACAAAAAAAAATCACATAGTACATTAAAAACAACAACGACAAAGAAAAAGCCTTGTGTCCCTGTCTTGGGGTTCATTTCACTTAGCATCACCTTATATGGTCATATGTACGTAGCTTTTGACCTTTTCTGCTTGTCTGGTAGGATTATCCTAGACATATACTAATTATTGCAAATAAGTTCTTTGCAGGGCAAGGTCTGGCTTACTTTACATAATATAAATTTTTCCATGTCTTTCCATTTCCTAACAAATGGGGCAGTGACATTCTTTCTGATGGAGACGTAGAATTCTTATATATATACTTATATATATATATATATATATATACATATATATAATTTTCTTGATCCTGAATGGTATTTTGTATTATCTTTTCCCATCAAGTTTTAGCTTTCTTGAACATAGCACGGAGCAACCCTCAGATTCAACCGAAGGACCTTTTAATTATGTATAGCAAAAAGCAGAAGTTCATGCTATTCATCCTTTACATAATAAACTCAATTAAGTTTAAAAAAAGACTCCATGAGCCTTAGAGATCTTAAAGAAACTTGCACATGCGGAAAGAAGTTTCTATAAGGTTATTCTCAAATACATCCCTCCCCAGCGAAAAAGACACTGAGATTAAAACAAAAGAAATAAGAGCAAGAAACAGATCGGAGGTGAAGTCCTCTCCTGGCAGGAGTTCGCGTCTCTCCTGCCCGCTCTCCCCTCGGTGCCTGCTTCCAGGGTGGTGGGCGGTGGTTCTCTTGGCACCCTGCACCCTTGGGCTGGGCCCAGCCCTGCCCTCTTGTCCCACCAGTGGAGGCTGGACACACCCACACCCTCTGTAGACAAGCCTCGGATCATTTGGAAAGGCAGATGAAGAGGGAAGAGCTTCAAGCCACCGCTTTCTGTATCAGACCAGATTTGACGGGCTTCAGGGGGCTGGTTTATGAACTGGCCTGGGGGGGGGGCAGTGATTGGGTCCACAAGGCTCAAGGTGGCTCTGATTGGGCCAAACCCTCTCCATCATCAACACAGAGCTGATAGACACTGTCTGGTTCTGAGACTGTTCTTTGTGAATGCTGGTGTACCTTTGTTTTACCTTCATGAAAGTGATGGAGAATGTATGGACACTTAGTAGGTGTCAGGTGCCACACACACACACACACACACACACACACACACACACACACACACACACACACACACACACACACACACACACACACACACACACACACACACACACACACGGTTGGTCGTGGGGCTTGAACTCTGGGCCTGGGTGCTGTCCCTCAGCTCTTCAGCTTAAGGTGAGTGCTCTACCACTTGAGCTACAGCGCCACTTCCGGTTTTCTGGTGGTTTATTGGAGATAGGAGTCTCACGGTCTCTCCTGCCCGGGCTGGCTTTGAACCGCGATCCTCAGATCTCAGCCTCCTGAGTAGCTAAGATGACAGGCGTGAGCCACCAGCACCCAGCTGCTCTGTATATTTTTAAAGCTACTTCATTGAGATTTATTTCACATACCATGAGAATTCTCCCATTGAATGTATATAGTTCTATGGGGTTTTTTTCCATATCTTTTATCAAGTGGCTGAAGCGTTGCTTATAAATTAGCAGTAGAACATTTTCATCCCCAGAAAGACCTCCCAGACCCACAGACAGCTGAGCCTCGCCCCTCCCCTGTCTCCCAAAACAAATCACGCATCTACTTTGGGCAAATTTGCATACATTTGTATTCTTTTCTGTGAAAAGGTCCAGTGCATCTATAGCTTTTCTCAGGGAATCTGAAACAAAACAAAGCAAGAAAAAAACAACCAAAAACCTTCAGAAGGGATAACAGCCACTTCTGAGCACCTTCTAGAAGTTCAGGCTCTCTGCTAGGACTTCACGTACATCACGTCGTGACCATAGAGCAGGACCTATTATTCTCACCTGCACCTCTGAAAAGGGCAGTTTAGAGAAGTAACCTGCAGGCAAATTAAAACCTCCTGGAGATTCCCTTCACCTCCTCTCGCTCTCTTAATTTTCATTCATTCATTCATTCAAACTGGGGTTTGAACTTACGGCCTCCTGCTCTCCCTTTGCTATTTTCCTTTCTCAAAGCTTGGCACTCGACTATTTGAGTCACACCTCCACTTCTGACTTTTTGCTGGTTAATTGGAGGTAAGAGCCTCTTGGCTTTGTCTGCCCAAGTTGGCTTTGAACTTTGATCCTCAGATCTCAGTCTCCTGAGTAACTGGGGAGTGGCTAGTATTACAGGCAGGAGCCATTCAGGAAGGCCATTCCCACCCTTTTAAGTTGAAATCCACACGATATAAAATCAACCATTTTAAGGTAACACAATCCAGAAGCATCTGGTACCTTCACCATGCCCAAACGGCCCCCTCGCTGTAGCTCCAAAGCATTTTCCTAATAACTATGACATTAAAATGGCAGCCAGAGCTAAAGAATCCTAGGGCAGAGGAAGCTGCTGATGGCTCATAAATGACTTTGACTTTGCCTGGACTATTTCTTGTAAATGCATAGATCAAAGATAAATAGAAGGGGCTGGGATGGTGGCTCAGTGGTAGAGTGCTTGCCTTGCATGCATGAGGCCCTGGGTTCGATTCCTCAGCACCACATGAGCAGAAAAAGCCAGAAGTGGTGCTGTGGCTCAAGTGGTAGAGCGCTCGCCTTGAGCTGAAGAGCTGAGAGACAGTGCCCAGGCCCAGAGTTCAAGCCCCATGACCGACAAAAATAAGTAAACAAATAAGTAGAATTTGAGCTCAGCTACTCAGGAGTAACCAGTAAGACATCCTATCCAATAGGATAGAATAAGAAGGCAACCACACAACCAATCAAATGCGGCCATGAGTTCCCTAATGATTCTGTAGTCAGCGTGGTCTGTGTGGCCAGTGGTGGTCCACATACAGCCAAGTGTGCAGCAGGTGACACCACCCAGGCTGGTGTAAGCACACTATGTTTGCCCAAGACAAAAATCATCTAGGATACTCTTCTTTCTCCCTCTTGCCCTCTCTCCCTCTTTTCTTTTCCCCATTGTGCAGTATTGAGATTTGAACTCAGGCCCTCATCTTTGTTGTTGCCCTCCAACAACTTGTTTACCTCCTTTTGGCTTCAGGTTTTTTTTTCTGATAAGGTCTCACATTTTCGCCAAGTGGCTGGCCTCAGACTAAGAGTCTCCTATCTGTGGCTTCCAAATAGCCGGAGTCACAGACACATGCCAACACGCCCGGCATTGACTGTAAATTTCTTCCAGCTTTACTTCCACATCTCTCTTTTAGAAGCCTCCCGCTTCGGTAGCTTTGGTGGAGCTCTTCAGCCACGTCTACGTTGGAGCTACTTGCATCATTGTTTTGCTGAGCAAATGCTTTACAATTTTATTGGACTTCAGTTTGTTTATTTTTTAGCCAGACCAAAGAAGATCCTGTACTCATTACACCAACACGAGCTGTTCTCCTTCATCCCAGCCCGGCTACCTACTAACCTACTTTCTGTCTTTACAGACTACCCAAGTCTGGATCACTCATATAAGTAGAATTATACAGAATGTTGCCTTCTATGTCTGGCCTCTTTGTCTTCACACTAATGTGTTTTTGAGGTTCCTCTGTGTGCTAGCACGGCGCAGTAATTCTTTCCTGTTCAGTTCTTTCCTGTTCATCGCTCAGTGGCTGTGCCTTGGTTTATTCTTATACATCAACTGATGGGTACTTGGGTGGTTCCAACCATTTTTTTTTTGTTATTGTCTTTGTCAGATATGGGGTTTGAACTCTGGGCCTGGGCGCTGTCTCTCAGCTCTTCAGTTCAAGGCTAGTGCTCTACCACTTTGAGCCAGAGCGCCACTTCCGGTTTTCAGGTGGTTCATTGGAGATAAGAATCTCACAGGGACTTTCCTGCCCAGGCTGGCTTTGGGCCACGATCCTCAGATCTCAGACTCCTGAGTAGCTAGGATGACAGGCCTGAGCCATTGGTGCCTGGCCTGTTCCCACAGTTTGTGCATGTGTGTGTAGGTACTCGTTGGCATAGCTGTTTTTAATTCTTGGGGGTATAGCTAGGAGCGGAATTGCTGGCAGTCATTCCATGTGTAGCTTTTTTTTGAGGAATGGTTAAATTGTTTTCTACAGTGACTGTTACATACAGAGTTCCAGTTTCTCTACATCTTTGCCAATAGCTGCTATTTTCTTTTTTTTTAAATAGAATATTCCCATCTTAGCAGGTATGAATGTGAATCTCACTATAATTTTGATAAGCATTTCCCTAATGACAAGTGATTTTGAGCATTTATTCATGTATTTCTGTATTTGTATTCTTTAGAGAAATGTCTATTCAAATCCCATATCCTTATAAAAATTCATATTTGCCCCACAGAGCTCTTAATGTATTCTAGATACCAGACTTTTTTCAGATATATGACTTGTAAATGTTTTTCCCATTCTACAGGTTCTCTCTACTTTCTTTCTTTCGTTCTTTCATTCTTTCTTTTTCTCTCTTTTTTGTTGGTCGTGGGGCTTGAACTCTGGGCCTGGGCGCTGTCCCTCAGCTCTTCAGCTCAAGGTTAGCGCTCTACCACTTGAGCCACAGCACCACTTCCAGCTTTTTCTGCTTATGTGGTGCTGAGGAATCAAACCCTCATGCATGCAAGGCAAGCACTGTACCACTGAGCCACCTTCCCAGCCCCTTTACTTTCTTGAGATTGTCCTATGACATACAGAAAGCTTTTGATTTGTACAAAGTCCATTTCATCTGTATTTTGTTTTATTTATTGGTACTAATTGTGCTTTTGGTGTCCTATTTAACAGCTCATCACAAATCTCAGGTCATGAACCCTGATGCGTCTGATGGTTTTGTAGTTCTGTCTTTTCTGTTGAGGCCCTTGATCTGGTTTGGTTTTGTGTTTTGAATCCACTTGGGATATGGTGTAAGGTGGGAGGACTAACCTCATTCCCTCTCGTATGGATATACAATTGTCTCAGCACTGCTGCGGCTTCTCCAGATGGAGCCCGGGTCTGACTCCATTTTCTTCACTTTGCTTGATAGTTGAACCAGTGCCTCGTACATTGGAAGCGCCCCCTAGCTAGTGAGTGCTGGACTGAAAGAGCAAATACGTGTGCCCCAAACCTATGTCCTATGCCAGGATCCAGATGGTAGGAATTTAGAACCACCACCACCCCAAAGAGCCCGGATGGGAAGTGACCAGGTGTCCTCTGATCTGCAGGTGCAGCCAGTGTCCTTGTCGGCCATCCCCTGGATACAGTCAAGGTAGCATCACCACGCTTCCCCCGGGGGCTGGGGAAGCGCTCTGGGATGGGACCACCCTTGGGACTTGAGCCTGCTGTTTCTGATCCCCCAGCCAATCCCCAGCCGGGGGCAGGCTCTCTGCCTCCCAGCCCAGAATGGGTGTGGGGGGGGGGTACCCGGAATCCTGGTCTGGAATGGCTCTCTTCTTGTTTGTTGGCAGTGATTTTGTTTCTGTGACTGTCTCTTCTGCCTGCAGGTTCTCTCAGGTTGGTAGGGGCAGGGCGGGGTCCCCCCAGATTTCCCAAGGAGCCGAGCCATCGGGAAAAGCTTCGCGTGTGAGGCGGCACCTGAACCCCAGATGTGAGGATTAGAGAGGCTGTAGGCTGTGTGTGTGTGGGGGGGGGTAGCAGGGTGGAGGCGGGGAGGGAGGGGCGCCGGGAGTGTGTGCGTGGGGGTTAGTTAGTGCTTGGGAAACTCCATGTGCTCGGCTTTGGGGTGCATCTGGGTCTAGACGGCAGCTGCCCAGCAGAATTTGGGCAAGACGGGTCCGTGGGTCCTCAGAGGAGCTTGAGGGACAGGTTAGAACTCGGGTCCACGGTGGGAGTGGGGGGCCTCGTAGCACGAGGAGGCGTGGGGTGTGGGGACTGTGTGGATAGCAGGGTCCTCCCGGCATTGGGGTGAGCACAGAGGCAGAGAGGGTGAGGAGGCTCGCCACAGGTCACGTGGGTTAAACACTGAGGGACGAGCGTCTGCAAAGGGACGCACTTGGACCCCATCCCATCCTACCACCCGTGGGTCCCGAGTGACCCACAGGGCTCAGCTGTTCCCTGGGAGCGTGGCCACCCATCGCCCGCCCTCACCTCGCACTGGACCCCTGAGGCCCGCCTCGGGCGGATGCTCTACACCCCTTGCCGTCCTCCGCATTGCTCCACATAGGCCTGCTGGCTGCTGCTTCTGCTTTTTATCTTTGGTCGGTCGTGGGTCTTGAACTCTGGGCCTGGGTGCTGCCCCTCAGCTCTTCAGCTCCAGGCGAGCGCTCTACCCCTTGAGCCACAGCCCCATTTCCAGTTTTCTGATGGTTCATGGGAGATCAGAGTCTCACGGACTTTCCTGCCCGGGCTGGCTTTGAACCACGATCTTCAGATCTCAGCCTCCTGAGTAGCTAGGATGACAGGCGTGAGCCACCGGCGCCCGGCCATACTGGCTTCTTGATGAACAGATCCGCCTTTTGTCTTCCCTGTTTGAGGTAACTGTGTAAGTAGAGAGGAGGCTGTTCAGCTGGTGGAAAGCACAGCTGTAATGCAGAGCCAGATGCAGCCTCGCACTGGCTGCGTGGCCTTTCCCCAGAGTGGCCCCTTCCAGGTCTCCTGCCTCCCTATGTCTTCCCGTGCTGTTCCCCGCACAGAGTGTAGCTTTTCCAATCACCTGAAACCCGGTCCTACATCCTGGGCTCAGCTGCCACCTCATCCGAGAAGGAAGGGCAGGTGCCTGTTTACTCTGGAACATCCTCCTTCCTTCTGGCTGACATTTTCTCTTGAGTCTCCGCCCACGGAGAAAGGCCTGGCATATCCACATTACAGTCTACCTTCTTGCAATGCAGGGCATAGCTCTTCACCTCCCGAAGCCTCCATTTTCTTTTCTTTTTCTTTTTCTGACGGTTGTGGGGCTTGAACTCTGGGCCTGGGCGCTGTCCCTCAGCTCTTCAGCTCCAGGCGAGCGCTCTACCACTTGAGCCACAGCACCACTTCCGGTTTTCTGGTGGTTCGTGGGAGATCGGAGCCTCACGGACTTTCCTTGCCGGGGCTGGCTCGATCCTCAGATCTCGGCCTCCTGAGTAGCTAGGTTGACAGGCGTGAGCCACTGGCGCCAGGCCAGACCTCCATTTTCTTGCCTATAAAATGACTCCTCTCTGGTTAAAGTTGGTCACAGGAGTTGGTCACATTGAAGACAGAGCCAGGAGCGAGATAGTCCCACTCCAGTGAAGCGAGGTCCAAGTTATCGTAATCCCAGCTACGTGGCCAGAAGTTGAAGGCCAGCTCCTGCAGATCTGATGAGCCCCAGGCTGAAAACCAAAATGCTAACGAAAGGCTTGGGGATGTGGCCCAAGTGATCGAGCACTTACCTATTGTGCACGAGGCTTCTTTTGGGGCTTTGGGATGTGACTGATCTCTGAGCACTCGCTCCCCCCATGCTTCCCTCTCTCCGCAGGCCCGCCTGCAGGCCGGCACCGGCTACGGGAGCACACTCGGTTGCATCCGCACGGTATACCAGAGGGAGAGCGTAAGTGACCCTTGGTTGGGCAGCCTGAGCCTCCTCGACACAGGGGACCAGCCTTGCTCCCTGTCCGTATGTCAGACGGGCACATGCTCATTCTTGCTCATCAACCTCTTTGACCTAGCATTCACCCTACGTTATATTACCTTAACTTACCTGTCCCCTGTCCCTGGTGCCCCTCCCAACGTTATTGTCAAGGGGGAAAGTGGTGTGTGTGTGTGTGTGTGTGTGTGTGTGTGTGTGTGTGTGTGTGTGTGTGTGTGCTCCCTGGAGAAAGCTTGAAGAGTTTTGGAACCACAGTGTGGAAAATTCCTACAAAAAAAAAAAACCCCAACGTAACCTGTGTGTCTGTCAAGTAGGAATGAGGGCTCTTCACAGGAGAAACCAAAGAATTCTCCCTTCTGGAGAGAGGATTAGCCAGAGACTTCCCAAGTCATGCTTTAGGGGAATTGGAAATAAAATTTCAAACTCAGGATGGTCTGACCCAACTTCAAGAAGCAGTCAAGTGCCGGGTGCCAGTGGTTCACGCCTGTCATCCAAGCTACTCAGGAGGCTGAGATCTGAGGATCGCAGTTCAAAGCCAGCTGGGGCAGGAAAGTCCATGAGACTCTGATCTCCAATGAGCCACCAGAAAACCAGAAGTGGCGTTGTGGCTCAAGTGGTAGAGCGCTGGCCTTGAGCTGAAGAGCTGAGGGACAGTGCCCAGGCCCAGAGTTCAAGCCCCATGACCAACAAAAAAAAAAAAGAAAGAAACAGCCAACTGCAAGCCTTGTTTGTAGCACAGCCTTGTAGGTTTTCCTTGAGTCCCGGAAATCTAGCCCATTATGACCATTGTGTCTGCTGGGCTTGATTCTCCCAAGTGCCCTCCTCTAAGTTCCTTGATCATGTCCAAGTACATCCCGGCTTCCTGGTGGTGTCTTCGCCCTCTTGATTGGTGTCTTGAAAGTCAGAGCGATCGCTGCAAACCCAGTACTTAGTGTTCCGGGGTAATCCTGTGCCACTCCTAGATCTTTTGAAAGGTGGCCATTGATTCTTCCTCTTGGCACACATTCCCCACACTGTCTGCCCGCCAGCGAACCAATCCCACAGCCTCAGTGCTGACTTTGGATGGGATTTCTCAGACTCCACAGAGCTCCTGGCTAGGCCGTGTCCCAAGTTATTGACCGACCTTCGTTATGGAGAAGAGCCTGGAGCAAGTGCTTGTGTGCATTTGTGTGTGTGTGTGCGTGTACACACTCGTCCGAGTGGCCTGTCTGTGGCAGCCAGGTGCAGCACACATGGCCGGCATTTCTATCTTGTGCACGGTTTTGTCCATTATCAGTTGGTACCATCTTTGGCAAGTGTGTGTGTGTGTGTGTGTGTGTGTGTGTGTGTGTGTGCAGTCCCAACTCCTCCAAGAGCCTATGGAATGTTCTAGTGTTCCTCAGAGCATCTGTTGGTAACCATTGAGAACGGGTTCCAGGAAAGACCCCAACTCCAGGGAACAGCACTGCACCCAGCCTCTGACATCCTGTATGTGGTGCCAGCTCCTTCCTGTGCCCTTCCAGGCTCCCTGGCCAGGGATCCCATGCTCAGGAGCCCCATCTGAAGACGAGCTCCTCACGACAGGCTGCATGGAGTGAACTATCATCATCTGTCCGTTTGTCTGTCCCTAGCAAACCGCCCACCCGGGAGTGGCCGTCCCCACCATGTCTCGGTTCTCATCAGCCCCATAGTGGATGTTTCCACCCCTCCCCCTCTCCTGCAGGCCCTAGAGAGACAGGCCCAGGGCATCCTGGGAAATCTGTTCCTGGCTCGGAGTCTCTCTCTCTCTCTCTCTCTGGGTTTTGCCACAGGTGTCCGGCTTCTTCAAGGGCATGTCCTTCCCCCTGGCCAGCATCGCTGTCTACAACTCGGTGGTGTTTGGGGTCTTCAGCAACCTGCAGAGGTTCCTCAGCCAGCACCACTGCGGGGAGCCTGAGGCCGGTCCTGGACGCCACCTGTCTGACCTGCTCCTGGCCAGCATGGCGGCCGGCTTGGTCGCTGTCGGGCTGGGCGGGCCCGTGGACCTCATCAAGATCCGGCTACAGATGCAGACACAGCCGTGTCGGGAAGGTAAGAGTTCGGGGGAGGGAAGCCTGGTGCCCGGGGCAGCCTGAGGCACTTCTCGGAGTCACCGCATCTGGGCTGTGATGGTTAATATCCTGTCATTGAGTGAGCAGGTGTGTGTGTGATCACGGCATTGCGGACAGTATCGCTCTTTTCTCTGTAGCCATAACTACCATCTGTTACATTGGCACGTGCCAGGCCCCCGTGAAGGGCTCTGGCTGGTTTCTCTGAATACAGGAGGCCCTTGCTCAAAAAGGGTCTGTGTGCCAGGTGCCGGTGGCTCACGCCTGTCATCCTAGCTCCTCAGGAGGCTGAGATCTGAGGATGGAGGTTCAAAGCCAGCCTCAGCAGGAAAGTCCGTGAGACTCTTATCTTGAGCTGTGGCTCGAGTGGAAGAGCGCTCGCCTTGAGTTGAAGAGCGCAGGGACAGCGCCCAGGCCCAGAGTTCAAGCCCCATGACTGACCAAAAAAAAGGAGGGGGGTAACCACATTTTACAATGACAGTAGCATGAGACGCTTGGGCTGAAGAAGAGGGAAGGGGCAGGCATGTGTCATGCAGAGCAGAGCACAGCTCACGTGTCTGATGCGTATGAATCCTGAACATGAGCCACTGCTAAGGGTGACGGGTCGGCTCCCTCACCCTGGGGAGACTGAGGCACAGAGCGGCTCCACAGCCGCTCTCCTCCAGGAGGAGGTCCGACGGCGCTCACCAACCAAGCCTCTGCTTCTGCTCCAGGGTTGAGTAGACGCTGTAGCTCTGCCACCCGGCGTATTTCCTTCCAGGAATCCCTCCAGGAAAGGAGGGCAGGCGTCGTTTTCTTCAACTTTCTAGACCAGAAGTAGAAAAGGCAAAGACTCATTGGGACCAGGAAGCAGAGGTGTCCAGGAGGTGTGTCCCCTCCTAGTTTTGTTCAGACTCTACATTGAACACGAATGCATCTCACCCTCCACCTTCCTCTGCTATTGGAAAAGCCAGCTTAGGTATCTGAGAGGCAGTTGGAAATAGTGAGGACTGCGGCCCAGTGGACTTCCTTCCTTCCAAGGGGGTGGCATGATCCGCCCCCCCTGCCCAGTGGACTTCCTTCCTTCCAAGAGGGTGGCATGACCCGCCCCCCCTGCCCAGTGGACTTCCTTCCTTCCAAGGGGGTGGCATGACCCGCCCCCCCTGCCCAGTGGACTTCCTTTCTTCCAAGGTGTTGGCATGACCTGTGTACCACATCCCTGGATGCATAGAACCTCAGATAGTCCCTTTCCTTTCCTTTTTCCTTTCCTCTTTTTTTTTTTTTTTTTTGTCAGTCGTGGGCCTGGGCACTGTCCCTCAGCATTTCAGCTCCAGGCGAGCGCTCTACCACTTGATCCACAGTGCCACTTCCGGTTTTCTGGTGGTTTATTGGAGATCAGAGTCTCACGGACTTTCCTTCCCGGGCCAGCTTTGAACCACGATCCTCAGATCTCAGCCTCCTGAGTAGCTAGGATGACAGGCGTGAGTCACAGCACCTGGATTCCTTTGAAGGAGACACAGAGAGAGAGAGAGAAAGAGAGAGAATTTGACTGTTCTGAAAATTCTGAGACGTTCAGTTGGAAATGGTTAGATAATTCAAGTGAAACCAAACCCTGTGTGACCCCAACTTCTGACAACGGCACAGATGGGACCAGGGCTGAGGAGGGCTGCAGGGGTAGGCTCTGCACTCTGGATCAGGCCTCTCTCCAGGTGACTTTGCTGACAAGAGCATCTCCAGGCAGCCGTGGGATCACGCTTGCCTTGTGGTGTTACCCCCGAGTTGCCAGTCCACTTTCGGGGGATGGACGTGCGGTGGGAGAGGCTACTCCCCACACTGAAGCTGGCTGCCCAGTGGCTTCTGGCTTCCCTGCTCTGGGGCACGTGAAAGGTGGACCAGAGGCCACTCACTCTGAGGTGAAGGCCTGGGTCATCTAGTTCGATGAGTGGCAAACAGCGACCCAGAAACTCCCAAGTGAACGTTGATGGTGAGCCAGGGTTGAAAATTTACAGACTGGGGAACATGTTCAGTCTGGAAGGGGCCACCTCTGCTGGTGACACATTAACGGGCTCCCTGTCCAACCCTGCAGAGACGCTAAGAGATTGTGCCGGGCTCCAAAGACAGTGTTATATTCTTTTGTACTCAATTACTTTCCACGTAATTAAAGCAACATATAAACTTATTTAAAATAGGTGGGTCCTCCTCCTCCTCTTCCTCCTCCTCCTCCTCCTCCTCTTCCTTCTTCCTCTTCCTCCTCCTCCTCCTCCTCCTCCTTCTCCTTCTTCTTCTTTGCCAGTCCTGGGCCTTGAACTCAGTAAGCCTCTTCGTGCTCAAGGCTAGCGCTCTACCACTTGAGCCATGGTGCCTCTTCTGGCTTTTCTCCTTATGTGGTACTGAGGAATCGAACCCAAGGCTTCTTGCATGCTAGGCAAGCACTCTACCACTGAGTCACTTTCCCAGCCCATTCTAAAATAGATGTGTAATTTTCTTTCTCTGTGTCTGTGTCTGTCTCTCCCTCTTACACACACACACACACACACACACACACACACACTCACTCACTGAATCAGTAGGGTAAGAATTTAGTTTCTGGCTTTAGGTGGACTGCCTCTAATTCTACCTGCACATAAGCTAAGAAACTGTGGGTGGGTGGCTGAAGATCACCAAGCATCAGTTTGTCTGAAAGGCAGATATAACAATAGTAATTACATTCCAATGGAGAAGGAATGGGATGACATTTCACACATGAAGATCTCAGCATGAGTCTAGCATGCTAAAAAACAAACAACAACAACAAAAAAACCACGAGAGCTGGGCACTAGTGGCTTACATCTGTAATCATAGCTACTCAGGAGGCTGAGTTCTGAGGATCATGGTACAAAACTAGTTTGGGCAGCAAAGTCCATGAGACTCTTATATCCACTAAACTTCCAAAAAAAAAAAAAAGCTGGAGGTAGAGCTGTGGTTCAAGTGGTAGAGCACTAGCCTTGATCAAAAGAAGCTCAAGGTTAGCACCCAGGCCTTGAGTTCAAGCCCCAGGACCAACAAACACACACACACACAGGACCAACACACACACACACAGGACCAACACACACACACACACACACACACACACACACACACACACACACACACACTTGGGCTGTTTACAGTTTGTTCTCTCCCCAAAACAGAATGTGACCAGCGACTTTGTTCATGAAGAGCTGCCTTCATTTCGTTTGCTCCCTGAACGTGTGGGTGATTAGATTCTCCAGGGGGTCAAAGGGTAGAGCCATTTTTCACATTCTTGGTGCATATTGTGAGATTGTTCTTCAGAAAGGCTGACAGCCTTACCCTAGCCGTTGCTCAAGTTTTCGGGGGAATTTCCACTTGGTGCTGAGGACTTTTTACACACTAACAGAAGTGATCGGGGGCGGTCCAAGCTCTCCCCACGCACGGGAGGTATTCTGGATGGCCAGGAGGGAGGGGAGTGTGAGGGGAGGGGATTTACTGAGGAAAGCTAGCAGGGTGGGCCCAGGTTCAGTGGGCGGTGCCTTCACAGTGCACCTTCCCGTTCAACATCATTACTATCCTTTGCATGACCACGAGCCTAACAGAGCCTCTGCCTACACCGGAAGTTGGAGCTGGGTCCTGGTGGCCAGCTACCCCCTGCTACCCAGCCAGAGAGTCCTATCCCAGAGGCCGATGGCCAGCTCTTAGGTCTGTGTTTTCGTTTAAAGCCCCCACCCAGCTTGGGGGAGGATAGGGGGACTTAACCATTTACTGTAGGCTGCTCATCTCGGTCCTTTGACCAGGCTCAGCTGCGCAGTTCTGTGAGAACTCACTCCTGGAATTCTCTTCCTTCACATAAATGCTTCCCGAGACCCCTCTGAAGTCTGGTGGAGTGGTAAGCAGAGGTCCTGGGTGCACAGCTCTCTGCCTGCCAGCCCACACTGTGTATGTAGAGGGGATACAGATACACAGGAAAGTAAGAAGGGGTTGAAAGGCCCCAACTCTGGCTGTGTGCATGAAGGGGCTGTTGATGAAGTCTTTGAGTGCGGGGTGGAGTTTTAGAGGTAGAGTCATGGGGAGAGAGGGTGTTTCAAACTAGGGAGAGCCAGGGAAAGGCAGGCATGCGGTGGGGGATGCAGCTGATTTATTTTACAGCGCATGGTGTGAGTGGATGTGGAGTTGTAGAGCGCACGTGTGCATCAGGATTCTCTCCACCAGACAGAGAAGAGGTTCGAACACCAGGAAGACTCAGGCAGAAAGACAGGTGCCCTCTCGCCCATCATCCTAGCTACTCCGGAGGCTGAGATCGGAGGATCGTGGTTCAAAGCCAGCCCTGGGCAGGAAAGTCTGTGAGACTCTGCTCTCCAATGAACCACCAGAAAACTGGACGTGGCGCTGTGGCTCACATGGTAGAGCGCTCACCTTGAGCTGAAGAGCTCAGGGACGGCGCCTAGGCCCAGAGTTCAAACCCCATGACGGACCAAAAAGACTCAGGCAGAGGTGTGTGGTAGGAAGGCGGACCCGGCCACGGGAGGTTGATATGGAGGTTACCCCAGCCCAGGGCCCCAGGCCGGGGAACAGAGGAGCGGTAGACAAACACCACCTGTGACACAGAACCAATAGCCATGTATGAGGAGCGTGTCAGAAATGGCCCCGGGATCCCGGCAGGGGCAGAATGTCTTCCTGAGGGAACTCGGTGTGCGACGAGGTGACCGTGCTGTCACCACCGCTGTTTTGGAGCCTGATTGGCTCCAGCGAGGGCATGGCCCAGTTGGCCCAGATGCTGTGACGCAAGGTGCCTGCTAGACGGACAGGGTCAAGCCAGGGGGATGGGCGGAGGGCGCGCCGGGCCCGGGGGTGACGATCAAAGCCACGGCATTAGGGGCCCATGCCAGGCAGGCGTAGGGACGAGGGAGGCCGAGGGTGAGAAGAACCAGGAAAGGGATCTGGGGAGGAGCTGAGCGTCAAGTGGGGTGAGCCGCCGTAACAGGCCGGCCGAGGCCACGGCGCACG